TAATTGCTCCTCATTTTTTTTTGTGAGAGTTCTCGCTGCCTGCAATTCTGTTTGAACTGTCACCCTTCAGGGATGAGTTAAAAGTGAACCTCATGGCCTCTGTCCACACTTTGTGGAATGGAAAGTTGAACCAGAATTCCCACTGGATGGTGAGTTCTAGAATTACGTGTGTTTGGATACCAGCTGAAGACATATTCAAGCTCACCTATAATCATTGAGGGCAAAAGTCCTGGCATAGACCCAAAAAATGAAGAATAGCAAAGATTCTATCTACAGTATATACTGTAAGTTCTCCAGTCTGGAATGCTTGGAACAAAGTCACTTCTAGATTTCAGAAATTTCTCTGTAGTTTGAAGTTTAAGTTGCCTACACCAATAGTATTTAGTCAACAGTATTTTTTGTCTGTTTTTTACATAGCTTTTCAGCTATCAACTGGAAGTTCAAGTTTTTTTAGGGAATTGAAGTAATTGTGTTGTTATTCAACTGATAATTGATCAAATAAGGAACCTTTTCCAGTAGGTTTTACAGTTTGAGTTCACATTTGTCCAACAACAACATTTATGTTGGGCCTTTAACATAAAGAATGACCCCAAGTTACTTCACAGGAGTATTATAAAACCACGTATGATACCAAACCATATAAGGACATATCAAATCTGATAACTAAATGCCAAAGATTTTAAGGAGCATCTTAAAGGAGGAAAGGGAGGTAGAGAGGTGGAGACATGTATGGACTAAATTCTAGCACCAGGTCACTGGTTACGAATGCATGAGCGATTCAAATTAACGATGCACAGGAGACCAAAAAGACTAAATAGATCTCAGAGAGTTTTAGGGCTGGTGAGGATTGCAGAGATAGGGAGTGATGTGGAAGGACTTGAAAACAGTGATGAGAAGTTTAAAATCAAGACATAGCTTGACAAGAACTGTTAAGCTCTTAGAGACTGTACTCAATCTCCAGCAGTTGGTTATTAAAGGTTGGGATAGCAGGACCCAGTGCAGGTGAACAAGCACTGGGGTGATAGAGGAATTGGGACTTGGTGTGATTTAAGACCTGGGAAGTAGAATTTTGGATTGCCTTATGTTTACAGAGGGTAGAATATGGGAGACCAGACAATATTTTGGAATATTTAAATCTAGAGGTAATGAAGGCTTGAATGAAAGTATAAAGATTAAATGTTGCAAACTAAACAGAACACTGTTCTTGCACCCTGATTTGATACAGCTGAGAAAAGTGCACAAACACAAGCTTCTGAGGACAATAAATTAATTTATAACTGTAAAGCTTTAATATTTTTAATTCAGCATTAAACATTGAGTCAAAATAAGTTATCAATTCTTATTTTGTTGTTTTTATTCCTCACTCAATAAAATGTTTTTCAACAAGTGCAATAGTCTGTTTCTACAGCTGGTCTCTATCAGTCATACAATCAAAGAGGCCTGAAGCACAGAAAATGGGCCTTTAACCAATCAAGTCTTTGCCAGACAAAAACAATCACCTAAATTTTCTAAATCCATTTTCCAGCATTGGGCCCATAGCTATAACATTGCAAGTGCACATCAAAATACTTCTTAAATGTTATGAAGGTTTTTGCCTTTACCACCCTTATAGGCTGTGAGTTTCAGATTCTCACCATCCTCTGGATGAAAACATTTTTCATCAAGTCCCCTCTAAACTTCCTGCCCCTTATGTTACATATATGCCCTGTGGTCATTGATCTCCCCATCAAGGGGAAAAGTTTCTCCCTGTAGCTTTCCCATGGCAATGTACTATGGCTTGATTTTTGATGGTCACTTGTCAGGAGTTGATCATTTTGGTTGCAGTATTTTCCTAATCTTGTAAAGAAGATCAGGAATGTACAATTTAAAACATCGTGATGGGAACGATCCTGCAATTCAAAGTCACGGTGTTTAACTATCGCTCTATTTGCAACATCAATACTTGTTTGAATTTCTGTCATTGTTTTGTGAAAAATGAGAAGTAAGTATTCTTTCATATGAACTGATGGAGTTTATTTGAAACATTTAACAGGAGCAGACTTAATTACCCCTCCCCTCTAACCTTCTTTCCATCATTATCCAGCCAGTACAACAGGCAGGAGCTGTATACAATACTGACCAGTCTTAATCGATGTGGGCATAGTGGTGATGTCATAAATGACACAACATCACCCAGGCTGTTGTTGTTCCGACACAGCTTCAAATCCCACTGTGGCAGCTGTTAGAATTTGAATTCAATGTAACAAATAAGGGATTGAAAGCTAATTACAGTAATCAACTCTCATTGATTGTTGTAAATCTCATCTGGTTCAGTATTGTCCTTTACAGACAGAAATGCACCATCCTTACCTGGTCTGGCCTAGATGTGTGCACTTTGTTTAAGGCCATTCTGTTCAGGGTAATTGGGAATTGGCATCAAATATTGGCCTGTCAGTGATGTTCATATCCCATGAAAGAATAAAGAAAAGAACAACTTGAGTGAAAAACAGTTGCAAGACCATGAGGAAAGAAGTCAGCTGGATGGTTCTGCTGAACAGCCAGCACTGTTTCTATGTGATATGTAAATATATCAGACTCATTCCTCCTCAGTTGTAAATCAGACCATTAAGTATAATGGAATTGTGGAAAATTATAATGATAAAATTTAATTCAATGCATAAATGAAATCTACTCTTCCTGACATAACTTTTCCATAAGTCCTATATACATATGGTGTTGGTTATTATCAGTTGGCTGTACAAAGGGTTTGTAATGATGTCAACATGATGCCAACAAATCCATGCTGGCTGAGGTTACTGTGAAGACCTCTCCCCTTGCCTGAGGTGTGGTGACCCTCAGATCAAACCAAATCAGTTATCTCGCTTTCAAGAGCCTGAGAGAACGGGTCTGGTAGGTTTAGGGCAACTTTAACTTTTATATACATAACTGCCTCTGTGACCAGTCAGTATTAGCCTCCTAAATCAAATTTTCAGTTTTTGTTTATTCATTCATAGGATGTGGATATCACTGGGTAGACCAGTATTGTAACCCATTCCTAACTGCCAGAGGGCAGTTAACAGTCAACCACATTGCTGTGTGTCTGGAGTCACATGTAGGCCAGACCAGGTAAGGATGGCAGATTTCTTTCCATAAGGAACATTAATGAACTAGATGGATATTTTCAACAATCAACAATGGGTTCATGGTCATCGTTAAACTCTTAATTCCAGACTTTTTTTTTAGTTTCACTCCTATTCAAAACCTGGGACAAACTACAAACAGAAAAGGCAAGGATGGTTACAATTAGAGATAAAATAAATTTTAAACAAACAAAATCTACTACTTACCAGCACATATTACATTTCTAAATTGAGCCAGTTTTGATGAAAGATGACCCTACATGAATGTTTGAACTGAATTTTTAGGACCGCCCTACCAAAGTTGGAAATAAAGGTGGGATCCTTGAAAATGTCATGCTGGCATGTGAATTACATAATGCCACTCCCTACTGTAGTGGATGTGCGTGCGTGTGTGTATGTGTGGTGGCAATGGTCATGGGTTGTTGGTGGGATGGGAATCTTGCATTCTTTCCAATTGAGCACAACTAAAATAACAACTTAACAGCCATCGAGGTCGAGTGCAGAAATTTTCAAGAAGCACGTGGGTTACCTGTCCCTTCATGAACAGGTCAGCTGTAGGAAGCCTGGCTTCATTAGAGTGCCAGTGGGGGTAAAGGGGAACTCAGCACTTGGCAAGGAACAATTGATTGGGTTCTGTCTGCAGTTGTGGAAGTCTCTGATTTTGGTAGATAACTGTCCCCATCCTCCTTTATTTGTACCTACTTGTCCTAATCAACCTGTTCAGACATGTTATTACACACTTCTGGAGCATGTGGGACTTGAATCTGGGCCCCTCAGTCTAGGAACAAAAACAGAAGTTGCAGGAAAAGCTCAGCTGAAAGCTGTGAAGAAAAAATCAGAGTCACAGATGCTGCCAGACCTGCTGAGCTTTTCCAGCAACTTCTGTTTTTGTTCCTGATTGGCAACTTTCACAGTTCTTTTGGTTTTCCCTCAGCCTAGGGGTATGGTCACTACCACTGCACCAGAGTACCCCCTCCCCCCTTTATTTGTAATGTGTTTAGGACCTGTCTAATTACCATTGGTAGAGGATTGACAGTGTTTCTAAACAGAATAGGCATTTGTCTTTCATCGAATCTGGGAAGAACCATTAAATGCAGCAGCAAATTCCTGCAGATGCTGGAATCCGTACTGAAAACAACAAATGCTAGAGACCACAGCGGGTCAGACAGTGTCCGTGGAGAGACAGCAAGCTGACGTTTCAAGTCTAGATGCCTTTCTTTTAGCTTGTTACATTCTGTTATCATGTCCTTTCTCCCATCACCCCATCCCAGTGAATCTGTCTTCTCTTTCCGGTCTAGCAGTTAGATACACCATTGTTATGCTATTCTAACATTCCGTTCACTTAATCTGAACTATCGACATCTGTTCTCCAACAGCATTCTGCTCCACACCCCACTATGGCATAAATGCTGTCCCCTGCACATTTCACTTCAGCTCTGATGAAGAGTCATCTAGACTTGAAACATTAGCTTGCTCTCTGTCCATGGATGCTGCCTGCCTTGCTGCGATCTCCAGCATTTTGTTGTTTTCAATGCGAACCACCAGTCAACAGTTTGTCCACCAGCGACCCTCAGCGGCAGCCCGCCGACACAGATAGCGTGCCCCGCACAAACATGGCGCCGGTTCGCAGCTGACGTTGTTGTTGCAGTGTGCTACGTTGACTTTCGCCCCTCAGTTCCGCCATTGGTCCCCCCGGCACTGAAAGGGGCCGGGACAATACCAAATATCTCGTTTGCCAACGTGCGCAGTGACGTCACGACATGTGATGATAGTGCCACAATTCTGGTTGGTTAATCGCTGTCACCGCGGGTGACGGAAGATTTTCTGATTGGCGGATCGTTTACCGGCTCCGATGCTTCGGCCAATCAGCGCGGAGTGGTGGAGAGGCAGGTGCGTGGTGTGACAGGAGGCCGGTGCCGGGTGGTTGACGGTAGCTACCGCTCTCGGGTGACGGCTGAGGGCAGCAGGATGTGGATGGTGACTTGCACGGCCCCTGTCAACATCGCTGTCATCAAATACTGTGAGTATTGACACTGAAACCAGCAACAGATTCAAGATCCCGCACTTTATTCTGTTGTGCCAGGATTGATAACTGCCGAGTGTGCGATTAAACGGGGAAAAAGCTGGTACAATCACGATGGACCGAATAGCCTCTTCCCGTGCTGTACGGTGCTTTATAGGCTGCTAGCACCGCACTGCCTGTGTCTCTACCAGGGTGTTGAGGTTAGCTTTGCTGCATGATGTGAAGGGAAGGTAGATAGTGTTAAACAACCTGTTCAGCCACCTGATGACAAATAGGATCTGAACCCAGACCTGATGGACCAGAGGGTAGGGACTCTGCCAGTGTTGTACAGGATCCTTCTTATTTCAACTGATTCAAAATGAACTTGTCTTTTTTTTTTGTTTAATTTGTCTAATTTTTAATGTTAGTGAAAAACTAGTGAGCAATTAATTCCTTTCAGACAATAGTATCTACATCCCACGTGCATAACTTCAAGGAGAGTGCTGTGGAACAGGGACATGGATTTGCCAAATATCAAAGTGTTATTTCAGCATTGCATATTGCTTCTGGTAGGGGTTACAAAGCGTTTTCTTTTCAAGCCATTGGGTGAGTTGACTCAGACCCTCAAAAAGTAAAACACCTGGAAGTGACATCTTACCAGTCGAGTTGTAATGTCAGACTTGATCATCCAGGACTTGGTGAAGGTGTACAAGGTATGCTTCTGAATGGTGCCATGTGCAAATCCATGAGGAAAGGTATTGTTTCCCTCACCCACAAGCAGAAGGGAAAGATGGAGGAAATTAGGAATTTATTTATTTAATTTTACTTGGTGGTTATTGTTGCTGTACAGGGTGATTCTGAAATACTGGATTGTTTTGGAAAAGAAGAGTGAGGTTTGTTCATGGTTGCTGTGGGCCAAAGAGATTAGTGATGTATGGCCAGTTGTCCAACAGAGATGTTTAATTCTGCACCCCATTGTTCACAGTGGAGTGAAAGTGAGGCCATACTTGGGAAATGTGAAGATTTTAGCCTGACAAGCATCAAAGGTGCAGGTTAGGTTGGTGTACTTACCAGTGAGTTACACAATATTATAGTAGTTGGACAGCAAAAGACTTGGTGCATAGGGAGTTTGAAGGTGCAGTTGGACATGTCAAGAAAAAGAGATTTTTCAGTAAAAATGGGAGAAGGTGGGGTTTGAACAGGGAATAAGAACTGAGAATGGTGAGGGAAACAGATTAGTTAGAAATGGCCTCTGATTGAAATAATGGGCATCAATAAATTTAAGATCAAGGGGGCTGGCTTTAAATATCTTAAGAATGTTTATATGGAGGAAAGGCAGTGAATTTATTCAGGTGAGAAGGAAATAGGAAACAAAAGGGTGTAGAACATAATGAAGTTTCCAAAGCATGAGGGCAAAAGAGACTGGTAGAAGTGTGATTTGGGCCACACAACCACTGTGACAAGTGGGCAGTTCATGTGGAAAACTGTATAGTTAGAACATCGATGCAGTCATCCCTGCTAAAACTCTGGATGAGAAAAGTTTTTTAGTGACAAGTAAATAGGCATTCTGAAGGGATAGTTAGACCTCATCTAGCAGATTCCAAGGGGATATTAATGAATGGGGTAATTGGAACCAGAAGCAGGTTGGTGAGGTCAGCCCCCAGAGGCATAATAAGGTGGGGTGGAGGCCAATACTAATACTGTAGAGCATTTGGGGTTGCTGCCTCTTGGGTTGTTCAAAAATGCAAGAGGCACAGATAACAACAATGAGTTTATAGTGAAAATATATACCCCCACTATACATTCAAAGTAAGATAAGAGTAAAATTGTCAGACAAAAATTAAAATTGGTGAAAAACAACTTTGTAGTACATAGCAGAAAAGACTCAATGTTATCAGATCTAATGAGAATCTAAGCTATTTTACTTCTTGTGTGTAGGGGGAAAACGAGATGAAGAACTGATTTTGCCAATTAATTCCTCACTGAGTGTAACACTACATCAAGATCAGGTAAGGCTTGAAACTATAAAGATCTTAAAAGGTTAAGGGTAGGATTGATGTTCAAATCTGAATCCCATTCTTGTTCTAGGCTTGCTGTTTGCTTCATTCTCTAGTTAAAGAAATCCACTGAAATCCACAAATGGCTTAATTAACACTGATGCCATGGGTGTAGTATTTCAAAGCTTGACTGAGCAGTTGGATCCCTGGCCTGGGCTGAGATCACTGAGCACAACCAAGGCATTAATTGAAGTGGTCTCATCCCCTAAGCAAGAGGAAGGACAAGTCAAACAGGTTTCCATTCATGTTGATTATCTATTGGCACTCACTGGATTGTGCATCTGTCTGCTTAATGACTTGGTTGTGACAAATGGTCTGCCTTTGCTCCTTCTATTCCTCCACAGAAAGGCTCTGCCTTGAGTGGAGGGGAAATTTTAGTACCATTTCAACAGAACACGTTGACTGGAGTGGTGCAGAAAATAATACTGCAGCCTCATGTAGCATATGGAATTGATAGCTATATGCCAATAGTAGATTGCATCGTCAGTAATGTCACATCACATGAGACAGGGACCTGAAGGAAGAAGGTTCCAGTGAAGTCCCCCTCTGTCATTTTTCTGGATATAGTTTAATGCTTAATGTTTCCCCTAGTATGATGTCCAGTCCTCAATCTTTTCTGTTCTCAGAACTCACTTCATACTTCCTATATGGTGTCAGAAGTCTGAGAGTTGCTGGCTGGGGATCCCTCATCAATGTTGATAAAGGCAGAGAAATTGGAAAAGCTTCTAACCTGACAAATTGCACATCAGAAAACACTCATGGTAGTACTTGAAGCTACTCACTGAAACCACAGCCTGATGACAAGTCACTAAATGTGTAGATAACTATGGGGGGAGGAAAGCATCATTCTTCTGCCGAGGGACCCAAATCTCGTGGAAGGTCTCGACCAAACTGCATATTGTGCAGAGATAGTAGGAACTGCAGATGCTGGAGAATCGGAGACAACAAGGTGCAGGGCTGGATGAACCCAGCAGGTCAAGCAGCATCATAGGAGCAGAGAGGCTGTTGCTGTTTCAACTGATGTCATATGGCCTTTGGACTGTCAGAAGCTGGATAATGTTCACGTATTCTTGTTTATGATTGACAGCTGCACTGGAATTCTAAGAAGATGGGGTCCACAGGAAAACTGCCAAATATGGAGATATTATCAAAGCTTTAGACTGATAGATTAGCGGTCATGGGGTAGCTCTCGTAATTGGGGAATAAAGTTAGCCAAGACTCCCAGGATTTTACAACCAAATCTGATTGGGTGCCAGCTAAGCTCTGAGAGTAGGGAGTGCCCCATAGCACCTACAAAGTTTATGCAGGAAGGCAGAAGGCATAAGCACCACCATTACTCTTTGCTGCATTGTCAGGGGATGGCCTTGTTGGCACTCAGCTGGTACAGCTATCAATGCAGAGCACAGTGCTGTCTGAGAGATCGTTTTAAAGGTTTTTTTTTTGCTAAAACACTAGAAGAAAACATCTATCTGCCGGAGAGAAGAAAAAATTGCAACTGTCCCTGATGGAGAGAATACTAAAGAACAAGATGTATTCTGAGGAGTTGTATATTGACAAGATGATTTTGAGTATGCAAATATCATGGTAAGAAATTACATTTTAAATTGGATTCAGCAGCAGGCATTATCTGTTATTTCAGCTTCATTACTATTGGTAAAGCGTACATTTCTCTAATGAACATCAATTCAACTTTAAGGTGCAGAAACTATTCCAATCCCAGTAAGGGTGGATGCAAGGTATGTTTCAATAAAGGGAGGAGTGAGATCACCAATTCTTTGATTGCAGGCAGACATCTTAAGACTCGACAGGGTCAAGTTAACCAGTAACTTCCCTGTTAAGGTTGAAACAAAGAATCTAAAGACTTTATGCTGGTTTGTGAGTGCAACTTTCCTCAAATCTATTTGGTAGAATATTCAATTGCATTTTAAAATTAAAGTAGAATTGTCATGTTGTAATTATCTTTGATATTCTACGATATGTTATTCCTTATAATATAATTTATAAACGATTCTTACAATAAATATGCGTAAGCAAGTATGAAAGAGTTGTGGTCTCCAAATCCTGAAGAACCCACATCTAGCAAGTCTGTAGGGATCAGAGCACCATTGAGGAGCTTCCTATAGAGCTGAACCCTGATGACAGTGTCCAAAAGGGTCTAACATCTGCCAATCTTCACCTTTGTTCTGTTGCTGATGGTGCAGACTTATTGTCTGCTGGTGTTCCTGAGATCTCGTTGTCTGCAGGAGAGTAGCCCCAAGTTTAAGTATATAACACCACGGTGTACAACAAGAAATTCCTTCTGTAGGAGTCAGAGGGATGGCTTCCTTTCTTCATGCCCAGAGCTGTCTTCAGTGTGTTTTTTTTATTTATTCATGGAATGAGGGCGTTGCTGACCAGGCAGCATTTATTGCCTGTCCCTAATTGCCCAGAGGGTGGCTACAAGTCAACCACATTGCTGTGGGTCTGGAGTCACATGTAGGCCAAACCAGGTAAGGATGGCAGTTTCCTTCCCTAAAGGACATTAGTGAACCAGATGGGTTTTTCCAACAATCAACAATGGATTCATGGTCATCATTAGACTCTTAGTTCCAGATATTTATTGAATTCAAATTCCACCATCTGCCATGGCGGGATTCGAACCCTGGCCCCCAGAAAATTATCTGGGTCTCTGGATTAACAATCCAGTGATAATACCACTAGGCCATCACCTCACCCAAAAGTTCTACTTTTTGTCTACCAGATTCATTGTTGGATGAAGTTTTGAATAGTTCTTTTGCTGGTATAGAAGCTGTAGATGATACAGCTGTGAAGTTCTTTATAGGAGCTGACCTTAGTTAATTCAGGTCAGACCTTGCATTCAGGTCATAGTAAACAAGGGGCGGCACGGTGGCTCAGTGGTTAGCACTGCTGCCTCACAGTGCCAGGGACCCGGATTCGATTCCACCCTCAGGTGACTGTCTGTGTGGAGTTTGCACATTCTCCCCGTGTCTGCATGGGTTTCCTCCGGGTGCTCCGGTTTCCTCCCACAGTCCAAACATGTGCAGGTTAGGTGGATTGGCCATGCTAAATTGCCCATAGTGTCCAGGGATGTGTAGATTAGGTAGGTGAGAGGTGGATGGGTCTGGGTGGGATGTTCTGAGGGTCGGTGTGGATTTGATGGGCCAAAGGGCCTGTTTCCAAGCTGTAGGGATTCTATGAATTTCTATGAAATTCCCTCATGCTGGTGTTTTAACCTTCCCTAGCATCCAAAACAGAAAAAGAGAATGAGAATTCCAGTTCAATGTCTTTCTCTTCATAGTGTTTTGGCTCCAGAGCTTTGTCTCTTGAATCAGTTTTTTCCTTGATCAGTCCTTGCATTCAGGTCATGGTAAATGTCTCAGTCCAGGTGCTAACTGTTGTGAGATGTTGTCTTCCCACTCCATTGATATGTTTGCTTTTCACGGACTTGATGGTGGAAAACATGTTTCTGACTTGCTCCAAATGAGCTGAGGGCACTGGTGATTGACACATTTGATGAAAGGTGGAATGCTGGAGTAGGATGGAAATGTAAATATTCCATAACATTAACAGTTGTGGGTAGGGCTGATGGGGAAGAGGTGCAAATTGACAGCTACTTCCAAATAGCTAGACTGCATCATCAGTGATAAAAACAAAGTTGCTGGAAAAACTCAGCAGGTCTGGCAGCATCTGTGAAGGAAAAAACAGAGTTAATGTTTCGGGTATAGTGACCCTTCCTCAGAACTGAGTTCCTGAGTTCTGAGGAAGGGTCACCGGACCCAAAGTGTTAACTCTGTTTTTTCCTTCACAGATGCTGCCAGACCTGCTGAGCTTTTCCAGCAACTTTGTTTTTGTTCCTGATTTACAACATCCGCAGTTCTTTTGGTTTTTATTTTGCATCATCAGTGATGTCAGATTGCATGAGACTGAAGGAAGAAGAGTCCAGTAAAGTTACGCTGTGCCATGTTTCTGTTTACTTTTGATAGCTAATAAATGTTAATAGTTTGCACTATTATGGTGTACAATCTTCAGTGTACAATTCCTAGAACGTGCTTCTGACATTCCTACACTTGCCAGCTACTGGGCCACAAGTGACGAAGTTCAATTTGGTTCCTTAAAGTAAAGCTTCTCACCTGTGAATGTATGAACATAAACATTTAGTACAAAGTAAAATAATGCTAGAAGATGAATAACATGATGTGATGTTATTTCTTGGAAATCTACACCTTTCTGTGAAACAGTAAAATCTGTCTTTGATATTTAGAATTTAAAAAGCACTTAGCGGAAATCAATAATATATGAAAGTGAAAAATGTAAAAATGCGACATTGCTTTCACTTTAAAAAAATTAATAGAATTTGCTCTTTAGCTCAGCATCAGGCAGTTTCATGTTGTGTTGGTATGGCTTGATGTAATGTTGAATTCCATCCTCAAGCTGAATATTTCCTAGCAAAGGCTGAAACTTAATCTCAGAAGGTTAGTTTAACGTTTCACTTCCATTACTAGCTTGTCAGTGGTTTTGGTAGTGATAGTTGACACGGTAGTGTGCTTTGTTTGAATGGGAACAGTATTCAGGCTGATCAGATGTGTTCATTTTGGGAATATCATCGATAATTTAAAAGTCCATCCTATGTTTAAGCCTTGGCACGTGCATTTTAAATCGCTTGTACAATGAACTGCAAAGAAAAGTAGGTATGTCAAGAAAAGTGAAGACTACATTTGTGATCGAATTTTTGTTTGTCTCCAATGTTAACCTATTAAGTGCTGTTAAAATTGGTGCTGCATTTCTTACTTTTTTAATTCCCCTATGGGATGTGGCAGAGTTAGGAAAGCTAACATTTGTTGCTCATGAACTTAATTTCTCAGCCATTTCAAAAGGTAATTAAGAGTCAACCATATTGCTGTGCGTTTGGAGTCATATGTAGACCAGAACAGGTAAGGATGATAGATTTCCTTCTCTAAAGGCCATTAATGAACCAGATGGGCTTTTGGTTACATGGTCACTATTAGTCTAGCTTTTAATTCCAGATTTAATTGAATTCAGATTTCCCTAGTTGCCATGGAGAAGTTTAACCCATATCTCCAGAACATGGTTGTCTAGATTACCAACCCAGTGACATTGCTGCAATGCCACCACTGCAGTTTCCCTCCCCCATTTCTTGCATTATGGCAGTGACAATTGGAAAAGACTTAAATCAGCTGTAAAGCACATTGGGATGTTCTGACAGATGAGAAATTATGTGAATTTATCATTTTCTTTTAACTAAGGAATTAGCACAATAAAACATATTGAGGGAGTGTTGATCAATAAGTTGAACTAATTTCTACTTACAATATTACAAACAAGGAACAAGAGTAAGCCATTCAGCTGTTTGAGTTTGCATTGCCATTTGATAATATTATGGCTGATCTGATATTAACCTTAATATTTCTGCATATCCCTAATAAACTTTCATCCCCTTGCTAATCAAGAATATACTACCTGTGCCTTAAAAATATTTAAAGATTCTGCATCCACACCATTTTGAGGAAGGGAATTCCAAAGACACAACCTTCTGAGAGAAAATTTTAATGGTGATTTATTCCTACATGAATCATCTCCGCCTCCTCCCAGAGGTAACCAGAATTACAGGTGCCAGTCTTCAACCACTTTGATTCACTCCTTGTGATGTCAAGAAGTAATTGAAGGCACTGGAGACTGCAAAGATGTGAGCCCTGAAGCCACACCGGGTACAGCGGATGCAGTATACCACATTGGCAGATGTGCAGGTGAACATCTGCTTGATGTGGAAAGTCTTCTTGGGGCCTGGGATGGGGTTGAGGGAGGAGGTATGGGGGCAGGTGTAGCACACACACACGGTGTGGCTTCCTCTACATCGGGGAAACCAAGCGGAGAAATACCGGTGTAGCTTCCTCTACATCGGGGAAACCAAGCGGAGACTCGGGGACCGCTTT